GTAAAGTGTATATCCATCCAAAGTCACTTATTAGAAGTGCAACATACCCTCTACGATTGCTAGTGAGATGTTTGATGACACCATTGTCCCTATGTATGTTAGCGTATCAATGTGAAATATGGTGTGTGTGCGCGTGTGTGTGCGTGCGTGCGTGTGTGTGTGCGTGTTGGTCGGTAAATCTGTCCTTAATATATATAGTATGATCAGAAATTATTGAGAATTTTAGGAATATGTTTAATTGGATTTCTAGTATAAACAACCTCGACCAGCTATCAAGTGCTTGGTTTCATTCAAGAGAGACAACTCCGTTAATCCTTTTTCATTAGTTTGTGAAGAGTTATCCCCCTTTGTTTACTTGCTAGCAGACGACATTTTCAGTGATCCTCAGTATGGATGATTTAGAGAAGAGGAAGTTGATTTGAGAGTATTATAACAAGTACATCAGATCAGCTAAAGTGATTTCAAGTTGAACAGGCATCCCTTTGTCCACTGTTTATCGTGTTTTGAAACATATTGCAAATGGATAATATGGCATTGAGCACCAGGGAGGCGCAGGTAGGCCCAGAAAATTGATTGTCGGAGACTACAGGAGGCGGCTTGGTATTCTTATTTCTAAAAACAAACGAAGGACTTTAGAAAACTTAAGGCTGGATATGATTGATAGAGGAACTGTGGCTGTCTGTAAGGAGACAATTAGAACTGAGCTGCATGCAATGGGTTGGTAGAAAAGTCGAGGAATTCCATCACCGATCATGAAACCTGAACAAAAGGAGCAAAGGTTGAACCGGTGCTTACAGCATAGAATTTTAACTGGGACAATGTGATTTTCTCAGATAAAAGGTCTGTGAGGCTGTTTCCTAATACACTGAAATTCTGGACCAAACATACTGCAAAACCTTTGTATCAACGCCCAAAGTACAGTCCGAAATTGAACATGCGGGTTGGCATATCTGTGTTAGGGGCAACGCCCTTCCGTGTATTTGAAGGGAATATGAACAGTGAGCGGTACACATATATTCTCGAGGGACATTTACTTCCATCTGCTCACGTGTTCTATGGAAATATTTGGATTTTCAAGCAGGACAACGACCCAAAACATCGTTCAAAACATTCACAGGCCTGGTTTCGGACCCAAAATATGACATTATCAGATTGGCCAAGCTATAGCCCTGACCTAAATCCAATAGATGGATCTTTGTAAAATTTGACACTCAGACAGGCAAATGTGAAATCAGCTTGGCTCTGCGCACATAATTTCAGTTGATTTTTCCGACCACTATTTAAATAATTGTTGCCATTAGATAAATAAGCAACAGAAAACTAAACAGAAATTATGTGATCTTAGGTAAGAAGATTCCTTGCGAATGTGCAAAATTGACTTGCATCTTACAAAAATTAAATCAATGTAAATTATTTATGCTAAACTGAATTAACACGTATGTCTATGGAAACAAAGTCGTTTCAGTATGCAAACATATATAGTTGTTACGACTGCATTGTGTTTTCGACATTTTCTGATATCAATAAACTATGCTATTTTACAAATTTCCCACAAATCTGAATAATTACAAAACATTTTTTTTATTTTGCATTTATTCTATATTTGAATTACCAGTTTTAATAGAATTTCAGATACAATAGAAAGGTAAATTTACTGCTTTACAGTAATCACCATATCTTCTTAAGCTGACACAAGTTACATCATTCTTTTAAGAAACGGGGTTAATCTACATTGGTTAAAGTAAGAACGTGATAACTTGTGGTTTCTCTGCAGGTGATATTTACAGTTTGTGGCAGCATATTCACTTGAAGTACAGAACATGGAGTGGTGATTCCAACTGCTGTACCCATACAAAAGGTATGCACAATGCAAAAAAAATGGAAACATCTTCCAGAATGAAAATATCTAAATATAAACTGAATTTTAAAACTTGATATATCCAAATCATTTAAGTATTTTTCTGCTGTGATTCAGTGACACCAGATATCCATTGATGTTTTAAAAAGTAGCCAATGTTTGTTTACATCAATAATAGATGTCTTGACTCTTGTGAAGTCATTAGATGTTTATGTCATTAATTTTTTTTCAGAGGCCAAGGCACAAGCACACACCTTGTATACAGATGAAGATCTCCTGTGATTATTTCTTTCTCCTCCTCACATGATAACTGAAAATATAAGGATGCCCTGCCACTCAGTCCAAATCCTGACTTGTAATTTAAGAAATAAATTAAGATCATCTACACCAGAATTATCTTTTGTTCATTTGTTGCTGTCACAATCAAACTTTTAACTGATCAAGAAAATGAATTGTGGGGCATCAGATGGAGAGACTATTTTGCTGCTCTCACTCTTCCCCTTGGTGTTAAATGTCTGGGGTAAGGCCAAGAAAAGTTTTAATGTTTCAAATCATTGTGTTGGGATTTCTTCCAGGGTCTGTTGCCTAATGGTTATCTATTTATAAATCGACTATTCTATAATATCGTTTGTGATATATTTAGACTTGAAAATCGTTTTGAAATATGCATAATAATTCATTATTGTATTCAGAAACACTTTAACATTTTCTTTAGCCTACATAAGTGGTGAAGTTGGGCATTCCTTTCGGCCAACGTCAGAATGCTATCTGGGTAATCAAATAGTTGAATGGGGTAGACACCCTGTCATTGCTATTGCAAGATGTATGACTTGTTAGAATGTGCCACGTGCAACACTCATGTCACATATATGCAACACTCATATGGCCTTTAAACCAGGACGTACTTTGTGTAATTAGACTGAATTATATTCTAGCGCTTCATTATCCGGAGTAGTAATAATTAGATTCTGATTGTGATTTTACGATACAAATATGCTATTATTATCACTATTATTTATAAGTATGTTTTATAAGAACACCAGCAAGATACCTGCACCCTTGATAAACACGCCAAACGGAATAATGTAAACTTCCTTAGAGAAACATCCTGAAATACAAAATACAAAATAAGAAACTAAAACAATTATATACATGTACCAAAGCCGATGCGTTTTTTGGTCGCTAAGGTACTTTCACTCAATGCAGATGGTTAAGTTAGGTGCACTTTTTAGCCGTGACTGACGTTCAAACTGCTTGACTGACAGGTTTTATTCATAAGATCTAGGACAAGTGTGTGAGTGTCTATTGCGGATCACGTTATGGCACACCCTGTCTGTTCAGTCGTTCATCGGAAGATCACACATCGATCTTCAAACCTAAGTCATTAAAACTGGCTTGGTTGCTGCAGAGAAACCTTATTCCAATCGAAGCAACTCCTAAGTCACAAACCAGATTCCAGACTATGTCACTTTGTATATACTGTAGGTCAGGAACTGCGGAGATGCAGTGAAAAACATCCCAATGCCTTTGTACCATGAACGAAGCATTCACCAACGCACTCAATACCATGTTGTCCCTGCATGCAAGCATGAACCCGTCTTCAATGTACTGCACTGCACTTAACACCCCCATACATGGCCGATATGTTCAACAGAGTATAAAGAACATCCTCTAAACAAACGCACTTATTCTCTCAAGTGCTGTCTCTTATGAATGTCATACACCTTAAACGCCCACTTGGTAACCAGAGGGGTGTGTTAGATTAAACTCAAATCGAGATCGCAAACCACCGGGTGCAGATAACAGGTTATGAGAAACTCAGCTGAGATAAGTAATATCAAACATGTTTGACATCGAAATCTGGGTCCGTGATAGACTGCTCTGGTTGGGGGCAGCAATTTTGTAAATACAAATATTAAAAAAGTATGCTTAAAATTTATGTGAGGGCGGGGCGGGGTGGGGTGTGTGTTCCCCATTGATTTTGTACATGACATGCAGGGGGGTCACACACGCACGCACACACACACACCTTAGCCATAAATTATGAACAGTCCCTAAAGGTCACATGCAACCAAAAAATCAAACATAATTAAAACACAATTATCACTTATTCATGACATATAATATACATTGCTGGTTATGAAAAAACATATGAACAAAATTATAAGCGTACAATCGCAAATCAAAAGTGCAACATTGTGTACTTGGGTTTACTTCCCAAAAACGAAGCAGCCGGGATACCGAACCCAGTCAGAGCGGGTGTGCACTCAAGTGTAACGGCTGGTTCATTTGCAGATGCCCTTCACGGCTCATTGTGTGTGTATATATATAGAGATGTTGGGTTTTGTAAATACATGCTCATTTTTTGTGTATAATATTTTGCAATCAACAGACATCATAACATGTCATGTGTTCAAGTATCACATCTGCCTGTCTGTGTAATTACATAATGTGACAGAGACCGAACTCGGGCCATAAATGAATGCATTTTGTTTATGGTGTATAGCCTGATTGTTGTTAAGTTCAAATTGCATGTGGTCAGTGAGAGCAGCTGTGTATTGAATATTGTCATTAGCAGACAGGCAGGCAGACACACAGGTGTCAATAAAACAAGACATTGAGTTTTGTCTGTGACAACGACATATCTATATCACAGTTAGAAATTCTGTCAACACTAAATAATGACATTGCTTTTAAGTATCGAACTGAGAAAGTGACTCGGTAAGAAGAGCGTGTGGTGAAATAGACAAATGAAATTATATATACATGTACAGTTATTTTAGTGTCATAACATATAAAAAGCTCGCGCCTGTGAGATATCAACAAAACATTAGAAAAATAGCTCACACTAAAGCCTTCACGGAGTATTCACCGGACAACCCGCTTCCAAGCTGCGCGAACCTATTTCACTGCGCACGTGCTATGAGCGCAGCCCAGCTGTTGAAACCACTTGAATTCCCCTAAACGCTGTGGGAAAATTAGTGAATCGTTTGAACTACGATTTCGCGCATTTTTTTTCATCGCGTTATTTTTCAACTTTATAAGTTGAATTTGCATTTTTGAAGATTTGTTTCGGTAAGTCCATACCGAAAGGTATCAGAATCTGCAAAGTTGTGTTTTACGTTGCATGTGACCTCTAAGGGAAACCTTCCGTGGAGTGTCAGCTAGGTAACATCCGCAAGCCCAACGAAGTCATTCATGACACATATGCGTTTATGCACAATGGCGATCATGAAACCACCACCCCACCCCCAGGTAGATTCAGTTCGAATGGTTCGATTTCGGGCTGAACTAGAAACAGATTACAGCAGTCGATCCTATTACAAAACATTTATTATTTCTCTCCAAAATGTACCACTCTGAATCCTCAAATTAAGGTTATGTCGTTTAACTTTGGAGGGGACCAATGACAGTTGCGTCCTTCACATGAAGGCCCTAAGTCATGGATCATATAGGTTCAGACCTAGAAAGTTTAAAACGCCAGGAAAGTGCGAACCCACAAGCAACAGGTTTTAGGTGGAATGACTGTCAATAGAGTAGTTAGCTGTTTTGACTTAAACACGTTTTATTATACTGTAGTCTTGTTAAACAGTTTGTTTTGATATTCAGAAAGGTCCCTGCAAAGCACCAGTGTCAACCTTTCAGGCTGCTATGGTCAAGAGGCATGATCTACATCGGGAGTTTGTGTGCCACCCAGCTAGTGACTGGTTTCAATGCTTCATGAATAGTTATCCTGTATGAATGGTTGGAAATAATACAGAAGAGATCAATCTACAAGCCAACAATGTAGCCATATTCTACAGAGTCACAGGATTTTATAATCAATGTATTGATCCTTGAACAATTGAATAAAGTGTCATGTTGTTGCTTGTAACATATGTTGCTTTCCTAATCTTTGGCCATGTCTAATTCTGCATGTGTGTGTTTGTTGTCTAATGCCACACTCAGCAGTATTCCAGCTGTGTAATCATGGCATGAAAATAACTCTCAGCTACAGCCATAAACAGATAGGTTTGCATGGTCTTACTTACAATCACCAAGGATGCTAACATTGCATATATGCTAACAAAGAACAACATATTTTGAAGTGTTTATTCATATTTTCGCTACAGTTGCAGGTAGACCATCTACACACAAAACTACAAACATCTACATAATATAGTTAATGTCAACATTGAAACACCCCATAACTCCATGATATGGTACAGTTGACTGACAATGAACTTGTCTCACCAAATACAGACACTCCATATCGTCATATACTACTCAACACAATTATAGAACACCCACATGTTAATGGCTGTGTGTTGCAATACCCATATAACAAATCAGGTATTCTCTAACTCAGGTATTCTTAACTTCTGAGTAGTATGTCTTACCAGTAACTATGGTTACATTGCATTTACTCCTAATTGTATTTCTACCATCCTGGTATCATCGCTGTACATATTCATGTTCTCAACCTATTGTGGTCACAATTAAATATTAGAGTCCCATCACCTAATAATGGGCACTCAATCTGTACATAAGAATAATATTATTGAACTGTCAAGGTAAGCATATTTGAAGCATATCAGGGCTCCAGATAAGGGTCGTATCGGCGTGTGTACGGATATAAAATAAGCATGATACGGTAGGAAATAATTCAGAAAACGTAGCAGATACGCACCACAGCAATGGTGTATCATTTACAGACATATTTATCTGAAAAAGTATTGTTTTATTGTTTATTGAGCTGTTTACACATTAACGAAACACAAGATTACTGATACTCCAGTAAATTCCAGTCAGGATTCTAAATGTACTCTTATTGTTTTTCAGTACTCCTGTATTGAAAAAATAAGGAGTACGTACTCCTGATCATGAAAAATTATCTGGAGCCCTGCATATTATTCATCATCAGTGACTCCACAAACAGGATGGTGAAATAGGCAATCATCTCCCCAGCCTCTGTATCACTCAGATGACATTATAACATTTATACTGCAGTACCCCAGAGCGCTAATGTACATTTATACAGCATCCTAGTCCCACAGACAATGAGCCACACACTGAACTGATCCCAGGGTTATGCATTGTAAACACAGCGGATTGCTAATGGTGAGCTTGACATCATGAATCATGTTGATGAAATTTTAACAGGTACCCTTTTCTGATGCTCTTATACAACATTGCAGACCAACTGGAAGCTCAATGCCCAGACATGTATTGATTCAGGTAACAAGGAAATGATGAAGGACCGGAGAAAATGAAGGTCATATTCCTTGCAAAAACAATTATTCAAACCATTTGAAAGTCACACAGAGTAATTAGCACTTGCTCAATAGCCAAAGTGTGCATGATGTTCAATGTATCCTCTGGGCTAGTTGAATATTTCTTTTTTCATTGTTATCACCCTCTCAGCTGGAACTTTCTATGGTATTTGCCATGGCTGAACATGCTGAAAGCAGCTGAGGTACTGTATACCAGATGAAGGACTTCAGCATCTCAACTCACGACAAAGACATGCTTGTGCTGCAGAGATAGATCACTGGAAAGATTACCGACATGAAGATAACATCTGTCTGTCATTCACTCCATATATGCAATGGTCCTGAGCATGGTGAAATCAGTGTTGAGTGAAATAATGATTCAGTCCATGGTTAATCCACAGATTACCTGAAAAAATAAACAACAGTGACAGTTACAAAGCTGAAATCAGAGACAGATTCTACTGAGAACAGAATCTTTACCCACTTATAGTGACCCTTTTGCACCACATGCATCACTCTGACAGTGAGGGTGCAAACCCCAGATAGAACTCAACCCCAAACAGTACTAGAATCAGTACTTTACTGAGAAAGAGTAACCCCAAACATAACTTGTGTTAAGGAGACAAGCATTACCTGTCTAGCATCACTTTCAGAAATTAAGCATTATGTAAGTAGTATCACTTATAGTGTTCAAGCTTTACTCGTCATACAAGGAGACAAGCATTACCTGTCCAGCATCACTTTCAGAAATAAAGCATTATCTAAGTAGTATCCTCTCCAAGGCATCAAGCATTACCTGTCATACAGGGAGACAAGCATTACCTGTCTAGCATCATGACGTCCTGTAGCTTCCTGCGAGCATCATTGACACGAGCCTCTTGGCGACGTATATCCTCCTCATGGATCACCATTTGCTGGATGTGTGGCTGTGAGGTGTCGATGTTCACACCAGGGTTCTTCTGCATGGCTGACTTGCTGGCATTCTGTCCTGTGATAGGGACACTGCTCAGGTGGAGAGCTGCAGAGATACTCTGGAACACATTCTCTGTCGTCATCTCCGGCCCACAGCCTGAAAATAGAGAGGACTCCAGCATGACGCAGGAAGGGGTTGAGGATTTACTGACAAGTAGACAACACGCAAACCACCCATCCTTCTTGGACTCATTCCTGATAGAGGGTCAAATGTCTGCACTATAACTCATCTCATACAAAAATCTCTAGCTGTGCTCAGCTTTGTGTGACAGTACTCAGTGCAGGTCTTGACAATTATCACTCAATGTGACATGGATAAGAGTATGTTAACATGTCTCATGAACCAGTTATCTGTAGAATACTTGAAGATACACTCAATCCATTCAATAACAATCAGACATCCCCTGTCCCACTTTAAGCCGCCTCCATGGTGTAGTGGTTAGAGCGGGTTCGATCCCTGGCCGCTTCATACCACAAGACGTTAAAATGTGGTATTTGTTGGTCCCTGCCTGGCGCTCGGTATAAATGGGTACAACAGGGACTGGTTGGCTCAGAGTCAGTATACTGTGTCTGAGTGGGGTATTCATGCTTAACTGCGGCATGGTATCTCAGTGGGCTAGCACTTTAAAACCAGCTTAAGTCTGGGCTAGTACAAGCAGCCCACATACACATACACACACATGCACGTCATCATATGAGCAAAATATTATCAAGTAAGACGTTAAGCCCCATTTCACCTCACCTCACCTGTCCCACTTTCACAGTGTCTGCTATGGGATGTGATCATACTTAGCAACCAGCAATATTCTGGTTATATCAGTGTGGACTAACCACAGTTACCTTTGTTACCAAAAATAATCAATGTTGTGTGGAGAAGAGCATGGACCTAATCTGACCCAGAATCCCCACTGGTTATGAAGTAACCTGACATGGAATATACACAATGTCTACCAGACATGGAATCCACTCAATGTCTACCTGACATGGAATCTACACAATGTCTACCTGACATGGAATCCATACAATGTCTACCTGACATGGAATCCACCAAAAGTCTACCTGACATGGAATCCACACAATATCTACCAGACATGGAATCCACACAATGTCTACCTGACATGGAATCTACTCAATGTCTACCTGACATGGAATCCACACAATATCTACCTGACATGGAATCCACACAATGTCTACCTAACATGGAATCTACACACAATATCTACCTAACATGGAATCCACACAATGTCTACCTGACATGGAATCTACACAATATCTACCAGACATGGAATCCACACAATATCTACCAGACATGGAATCCACACAATATATACCTAACATGGAATCCACATAATATCTACCTGACCAGACATGGAATCCATACAATATCTACCTGACATGGAATCCACACAATATCTACCTGACATGGAATCCACACAATATCTACCAGACATGGAATCCACACAATGTCTACCTGACATGGAATCCACACAATATCTACCAGACATGGAATCCACACAATATCTACCAGACATGGAATCCAATATCACCTGAATCCATATATATACCTAACATGGAATCCACAATGTCTACCAGACATGGAATCCACACAATGTCTACCTGACATGGAATCCACACAATGTCTACCTGACATGGAATCCACACAATATCTACCTGACATGGAATCCACACAATATCTACCTGACATGGAATCCACACAATGTCTACCTGACATGGAATCCACACAATATCTACCTGACATGGAATCCACACAATATCTACCAGACATGGAATCCATACAATATCTACCTGACATGGAATCCACACAATATCTACCTGATATGGAATCCACACAATATTCACCTGACATGGAATCCACACAATATCTACCTGACATGGAATCCACACAATATCTTCCTGACATGGAATCCACACAATGTCTACCTAACATGGATCCACACAATGTCTACCTGACATGGAATCCACACAATGTCTACCTGACATGGAATCCACACAATATCTTCCTGACATGGAATCCACACAGGGTCCATCTGACTAGTACTGACCTTGCATGTTCTTGGGCAGGTCCATGCTGAGGTTTTCATTCTGTTCCACAAGATCACAGGAAGGCTGGCTCTGGAGGCGTTTTTCCCAGAACAGCTGAAAATAGGAGTCAGTTTTTCATGTATACATATAGAATTTCTGCAAAGAGATTGCACACACTTGTATGTTCTGAAAATAACAGTTTTCAAGCTCTGTACCTAAGCATCTTGTGATGTTTGTGCCACTGATGTGCCGATGTTTGGGATTTACCTTGACTTACAAAGTCAATACATTTTACAGGTCCTTGGCAATATGAGGGTCCTGCAAAATATTGACATGGTGTAGTGGAGTGCACTTTCAGATAATTACCAGAGCCTGGAATAAATCAGTGATGGGTGAAATAGCTTACACACTTATATCCTCTTGATGCGCTGTAGGTACGTTTTCGGTATTTTTATGTGTCTCTCTAGACATGGCATATTGGATTCCCTGTGTCCATTCTCTACATGTGTGTGTACTGGACGCACATTTGTGTTGCATTAAACCCTGGTCGATGTATCACCAGGGTTACACTGGTCGGTTCCAGTTGTCTCAGTGATATGTTGCTGATGTGTCTGGGGTGAGAGGTCGTTGATGTGTCGCTATTGTGCCGACAGGGTGTGGCTGATATGTCAACGGCTTGATGGGTCTGCGATGTGTTAACAATGTGTTACTTTTTTGGTCCTTAAAAAGACATCCAACTACAGTCCGTTTGGCTCAAAAGCGGATCGATGAATTGCAATCTAACTCGAAAACTAATAAACATAAAATACTCAATGAAACGCTGATCATAATCAAAACATCATACCCACTCTGTGAGGTTTTTGCAGAATTTTTGTCCTAAAAATAAAAAAGTTGTTTAACAAACTCTCATTAAAATAGACACAGTTCACTATTTGTTACGAGGGAGGAGTGCAGAGAAAGGGACAGCCAGGTGTTCGAGACGCACATTCACAGACAAAGTTATTTATTCATTAACCTGTGCTGTGCCGTCTCCATCCGTTCTCGAACACCTGGCTGTCCCGTTCTCTGCACTCCTCCCTCGTAACAAATGGTGAACTGTGTCAATATTTTAATGATAGATTGTTAAACAACTTTTTTATTTTAGGACAAAAATTCTGCAAAATCCTCACAGAGTGGGTATGATGTTTTGATTATGATCAGTGTTTCATTGAGTATTTTATGTTTATTAGTTTTCGAGTTAGATTGCAATTCATCGGTCCGCTTTTGAGCCAAACGGACTATAAGGTTTTGTCTTCATTAAGGGTATCTCATGCTAGGATTTCACAAAATCCACCTTTAATGGCCTTGGATACCTTATTTCATTTGTAATACTTGCCAAGCGGTCATGATATTCATTATCTCATTCAAATGAATCCACACTGGGTTTTTTCCATGCCAGAATATGTTAGCAAGTGAAGTTATCTCCCTTGGTTTGACACTGGTAGTGTGGTGACACTGGGTTTAATGTAGCTTCTTAAGGCAAAGGGAGATAACTGACATTAATTCAGCCTAACTGCAATTTTGCAGCCTGATATTAGCATCATCAGTGGCTGATACAAGTTATGTTTGTCAGTATTTGCTTCAAACAAAATGGTGGCACCTAGTCTGATTATCCAGATCTCTTTTGCAATAAACAAGTTTTTTAATGCAGAGTACATCAAATCATTTGAGCACCCTGATCAAAACATGACAATATCTGTCTGTGATCAGTTGACAGTTCGTAAGCTCTGCAAATCCTGCCATACACATAAAGTCTGCACATCAGTTGCCATGTTGTTTATGAACGATTCCTGCCAAGGGTGGAAACAGGATATTTATCGCCTGTTCACTCCCTTGCCCGAGAGGATGGGTTGTCAAGCTCAATATGGTTGCACTTATGTCAGTGCGTGGCTATTAGTGCTGTAACGATGCATCAAACTATTGATGGATTGCAATTGTTGAGTTTCCGATAGCAATTAATCGATGGTAGAAAATAAGGCTGTAACGATTCACTTGCATATTCGGTGAATCGAACCGTAGCCCTTCATGAATTCAATTCGTTATTCGTGGTCACTAGAACCGAATATTAACGAATATTTAAGATTTTTTCAAGGGAGCATGTTTTACTTGAACCCTTATGTCCTTTCCAAAGTGAGATATGCAAGAATGGAACATCTACTAGCATTGCAGTAGTGCAAGTCATGTTAGTTTGCCAAGACTGCACATGGTACTGTCGATTATAACTATTACATATCAAATCTGAGTGTCATGAGATCACTGGTTATTGCTGTGACAAATTAACACTATCAACATGGCCGTTCCATACTGTACATCAATCACTTAACTACAATATTGTATTTGTGAATAATTATTCGTATTTGTTATCCCATATTCATGATACGTATCATATTCGTCACATAGTGTATTCATTGCACCCCTAGTAGAAAACGAAAAACTATCAATACATCAATAGTATGTGTGACTGTCGATAGTTTAGTAATTGACTTTTGTTGACAAATGAGCAGCACAAAATACAGGAAATACCAAATTCTTTCACATTCATTTAGAGTTATCTGCCCCTGTTGACTGTTTACTTGATCATGGATTTCAAGTTTCTTGTCAGTTATTAAAAGATACTGAAACTACTTCAACTTGTTTTCATTTCATATAAACTATACATTCATTTGGGAAATTAGTATTGCAATAGTTGGTCTCAATAGCCTATCGCTATCACAATAGTGTGTTGCAATAGCCTATCACTATAGCAATAGTGTGTTCCAATAGGCTATCGCTATAGCAATAGTTGGTCCCAACAGGCTATCGCTATCGCAATAGTTGGTCTCAATAGCCTATCGCTATCGCAAAAGTGTGTTGCAATAGGCTATCGCAATAGCAATAGTACTTTCCCACCTAAATAGTCACCCCTAGTGGCTACTGACGGACTAATATTGACATTATAGTGTTATCCCACTGGACTTCACCATACTGACTCCAGCAGTCTTTGTTTCATACCCTTCTTCCCAGCACAGGACAGGGTAACATTACACATCAAACCACTGACTTCCACTCTCTGGGCAGAGAAGATATTTGAAAATCTAAAGTAAGATCATATTGTCTCTGCTGGTTGGAAACAAGGGACTAACATGGAGGATTCCAGTCCCAGAAGGTGAACATTTTAGTTATCTCTTCTGGCAGGAAACTCATTTCATTGGCAGAGATCTTAAATCCATCTAAATCTGACCCATTCACATGTGAGTGAGTGAGGGAGTTTAGTTTTCCGCTGCACTCAGCAATATTACCGCTATATGGCAGCGGTCTGTAAATAATCGAGTCTGGACCAGAAAATACAGTGATCAACAGCATGAGCATCGATCTACGCAATTGGGAACCGATGACATGTGTCATCCAAGCCAGCGAGCCTGACCACCCGATCCCGTTAGTTGCCTCTTACGATAAGCATGGGTTACTGAAGGTTCATTCTAACCCCGATCTTCACGGATCTATTCACGTGTACCCCATTACCCTAGATGTAACAATGTCATGAAGTTTGGGCATACACCTCCACCAAAGACCTTGCACTAGTTGGGTAAAGCTTGTTGTCTGCTGCCAATACCTGCTTGGGTGGGTCCTGTGGCCCATGCTTTAACTCTGTTTTGGTCTGGCTCTCTGGTCGGTTCCTGATCACTGTCACAGGTTGCTTGAAAATTGAAGCTGTCTGTCGGATTGGCAGCACCAAGCTAGCATCATGACGAAGTCCTGCAAGTACAAAATTTCACCCTGGAATCAAAACAGGCTTTTATCTTCAGGTTCCTTGGAAATCATTCGGTATAAAAGTTCATGAAACAGTTCTGGAAATTGGATAAAGGATTTAGTTTTGTATTATTTTTCAAATTTACATTTAAAAGGATTCTTCTTGTTGAACAGAAATGACATATTGACCATAAGTATTTATTGGAAGCTGGTTATTTTAAGCCTTATATCACATATATTGCACATTATTGAAATATAGTTGACACCATACAATAATAGATGAAAAGTAGAACTGTAAAACATGAAATTTAACAGTTATTATAGATATTTCTTAAAGTTTACATGTAGTTGTATTGAGATTAAGTAAGTAAATTGTAGTGAAATCACTCATGAAGAAAAATGGCAAGAAAACAAACCTACTTCAGCAACAGGAAGTATTTTTATGACTTTGTGTATGAAAGAAATGAAAAGTGCTGAGTAAGTGTTGAATAAGAAATATACATATTTTTAAAATGAGTTCTGAAAACATGGACAAGTAGAAGAGTGAAATACTAACACAGTCACATGTATGCATGATGGTTGGTTGGTAGTTGTTTAATGCGACCTGATTCTTGAAATGTGACATGACATTTGAGAAAAAGAGTTACTTCCCATAGAAATTTGCAATCCAGGTGTAATTGATTAACAGGCTTGACCAATAATATCATAACAAATTATGAAAAGAGTGGCCAATATATTTCTTAGTGTCTCAACCTCTCGACTAACCCTACACTGAGTTAAGTGTGTAAGATGATTAAATGGCTTAATTAATATAATAGGGTTAATAAGCATGATAAGAAAGTAGATAATATTCTATGAAAGCATAAACAAGATTGATTAGTAAGATTAATGTAATTAGTACATGATTTCATCAAGTATTGTGTCGATACTCAGGGGTGGAAATAACCCATTGCCCAACGTCCCAGTCCAGTGTTTTTTCTGTCAGGCAAGCAAATCTGTATATCACGCTGTACCAGTGTCCAGTTGACTTTCCAATGTTAATTATGTTGTTAATTTAAAAAATCAACAAGAAAATCGGTTGATATAGTGGAAAAATTATCAGGGCAAGTGATTTCACATGTGTCACTGTAAAGGAGTAAACTAGCAATTTTGAAGTTATTTCCACCCTTGATTACCACCATGAAGAGTTACAGCCCCATTGTGTTGTCTATGCTATTAAAGCATTTGTACAGACAGCAAAGAGTTTTTGTAGGATGATGCATAAAGATATTTTTAATGTTCCTGCAACAAGGACAACCTGGAACTTAGTTTAAAATTCTTCCAAGTTTACCTTTGCTCCAATAGTTGATACATGAATTTTATTTCTCAGACAATTAAACTCTTTGACTGTCAGATTTACAAACACCTGTGTCATGCAAAAGAAACTATCAATCCAATACAATTTTGTTTCTGTTACTTTTCCAATGAATCATCCAATAACAATTTCAGTGATGTACTTGTGAGCAGCTGTTTCTGGATATTTGGATTGATTTTCTTCTCCATCTAAGAAAGTGTCTACCAATGTATGAATTCCATGGTGGATGCCCTCAGTTGAATATAGGAATGAACTAACATGATTTCTGTTGAAGGAAACTTAATTTGAATTATAAATTGAAAACCAAAGTAAATGCTTAGCTTCCATTAATAGGTCAATAAATTTCATATATTATCATACATGCTTTTGAGCATCTGAGCCATTGTGGTAAGTCTGTCAGGTTAAGAACTGGTAGACACTACTTTGGACTACTAAAAGATAAATGAAAACAACCCAAACCATGTATGTATATCTTTAACAAACCTCTGGCAAAGTCATATGATGATCCCTTCATACGCTTACTTTTGCGAACGGCACTATAGATAATCCGCCCTGTGCGGAAATCAAATGCACTCAAGTCAAGCGCATCACCAATTATACGTGCCAACTGAGGTTTGCTTCTAATCTTTTTGCCATCAGGGCTGAAACAGAAAGTATGCATGATATAACAGTGGTTGTGTTTATTTAATTGTGAACTCCATATCTATCATGAACCAACACATGCAGGGTTTTACGGGACGTGTGATTCCTGCGTATTGGATGCAGAAATTTAATGAAGTACCCCCCAAACTAAAACCCTGTGCATCTTCGTGGACACAATGTATTTATTTTTCTGGGAAAAAACTTTCTGAGTTTGTAATGATATCCCAAATTAAAATATAAACATTCTGTTTACAATCATTATTCTAAAGACATTGAAAGTGAGTGAGTGAGTGGGTTTAGTTTTATGCTGCCTTTAGCAATATTCCAGCAATATCATGGCAGGAAACACCAGAATTGGGTTTCACACATTGTCCCACGCTGGGGAATCGAACTAGGCTTCTCTGTGTGATGAACAAACGCCTAACCTCAAGGCTACTCCACTGCCCTGACATTGAAAGTAAAACATATTATAACATAATCATTATCAAATGGGAAGCATCCATGATCATTGATTTCATGCAAATTGATGAACTCCTAATTTTGGAAATGAACTCTCAAAAAATTATGCCCAGGACTCCCAGTTTCGAAGAGCTATGTAAAACCCTGCACATGATATATATTACTATTATTAGCTAGAGATATTGGTTCTTCTCATCTGAATACAAAGCTGACATACAGATTGCTATCCCAGCATCTCCACCACCTGCAACCAGAGGTTTCAGTGCATTATCCCCTTCTTATCCCCTGCTTGCCACCTAGCCTATTCACTCCAGGACTCCAGGGATGATGTAGCTTATTCCAGTTGTAAGTCAGGATTGTAGCTTAAGTCCATTTATTTGAATATTACACACAATAGTGTAGGCGTGGTGGGCGAGCTGTCTAAGGCGCCAGGCTAGTAATCCAGCGAGCTTGGAGGTGCTGGAATCGAATCCCACCTGTGACCGGGTATAAACAATCTTGGAGTCAACTTTGTGTACAGACTCTTTCAGTGTTGTCACAACCCCTAGTGTACAGTACACAACCCTGTGCACTTAAAAGAACCCACGAATCCATTGGTAGATGACCAGATGGTGGCCACATGAATACGTGCAAACACCCAGTTGCGGGTACAGCAAAGTGCAGTGAACTTGGACAAAGTACTGTGACTATGTGTCCCAGTCCACCCAGCTGTGAATGGGTACCTCGTAAGGATGGTAAAGCCACATGAACTTGGTGCGCCAAGTAGGCAGCAAGAGTTGTATGATCCCCAGGGAGTTGAGATTGAAAAATATGATGTGCCATTGTGATGGATATCCAATGATCGAGGAAAAACAAAGTGCCTTTGAGCAGTTGTACTGGATATCGGCACTATACAAATGTTTGTATCTTTGTAGGTAATAGTCCTCAGATCTCCAGACCTGTTAATAGTATTTCATGTTTATCAACTCCTAAATGTGTAACATTTTCTGATCACTTGCTCCAAATACAGAGAGAACTCCTCTGGTCAATGGTTGGTGTCGGAATCACTATTACCTATTTCATGTGTCATTGTCAGATTCAGAAAGTATGTGGGGGCGTTGTCAATACAGGTACTACAGATGAGTACCCCAGGTATGGTTCTGTATACATAGAAGTACCCTAAACAAAGTCAAAATACAGAAATGTACCTGGTACCAAACAGGGGACAAGTCCATACCCGCAACCAAAAACCGAAACCTTATATAGTTATTCCAGGTCAACTGATTACAAGTGGTATTATACATCGCAAAAGATTCAGTATAGTGTATGCTTGTTTTATGTATATCTTAATCAAAAGCATCTAATATTAGCTATACCACAGCCCCCCACTAATTGACTAGATTTGGCTAATTACCCTGGAATATTTTCTTTATTCGTATACTACAGAAAAACTATTGAATCTTTTTCAGTTATATGATCTAATACAACAGTATGACAGTTTTGATCAAGAAAATTATCAGAATGGACTCATCCCTAAGGTATGTTTCTGCATTCTGATTTTGGCTATGGTACATTTCTGGGCTACACATGTGGAGTACCTGTGTGGACACCGACCCTTCAGCCAAAGTACATTCAGGATACTGCTATGTTCTTCACTTACCTCATTTCTGACGAATTTACACATTCCAATAAACATACATCATGAAATGTTTCATTTCATTGAGAAAATACCAAAAAAGTGAAACATACAATTTGCATATTAATATCATCAAAGCCCGATGGAGAGCTAGCATATACAGCATGAAACAGTCACTAATACATGAAAAGTTGTAGTGGAACATCTATACAATTATGCATAACATTAACAATATGAAAGGTGAGGTGAAATTGGGTTTAACGTCGTGCTTGAGAATATTTCGCTCATATGACGACGTGCATGTGTGTGTATGTGTATGTGCTTGTACTAGCTGACTTGTACTGGTTTTATAGTGCTAGCCCACTGAGATACCATGCCACAGTGAAGCATGACTATCCCACTCAGACACATTATACTGACTCTGAGCCGACCAGTCCTTGTTGTACCCATTAATGCCGAGCGCCAGGCAGGGACCAACAAGTACCATATTTTAACGTCTTTTGGTATGATGCGTTCGGGGATCGAACCCGCGACCTTCCGCTCTCCGGGCGGACGCTCTAACCACTACACCACGGAGGCGGTCTAACAATATGAAAAGCATACCAAAAGCATTGCATGTGACCTGCATCATGTGTATGTCTCTATTTCGGAATAAGTACATTTGTTGACAAACAAAACAAAAGTGGAATGATATGATAAGCCAATAGTCTACATCAGCAGTGGTCATACTAAATTGTTGACAGTTATTCAAACAGTGTTATTAGAAATTGAGAGCAGGTAAAGACGGTATCTGTGTTATTGAATAGACTGTTGGTTGAACTATATCACTGAATTTTAACGAGCAGCAAAACATGTAGACATAATTCAATCTTGCAAGATCATGGATGTGTTGTTTGTCATTGGCTCCGTGCAACTACTAGCCTCAACTAGGCTACATGGCAGTGGAATAGTATATACAATGTGATAATATGTGGATAAAATAAAGAGTATATAACTAATGCCTATAGCCCACGTTGTTACTGACTCCATTTAACATAATTTTATCTAAATTTACTGGGCTGACAGGTACAGATGCTCTGAAAAGCGATGAACGAAAACGGGGGGTCTTTACTTTAAAACGTGACTGCTTCAGTAATTTCAGTGGTATCCGATACCTACCTGTAGTAATACACGTCTGTTTTGCCAGCCGAAAGCCCAGATTTACGGACAACTTCCTCTCTTTTCCAACCTGATGGAAGACCACCAGTTTCAGGAACTCTTCTCTTCGGTTCCATTGTTCGTCACAGTAAACCGGAAGTAACCATCGAACACCTGCTTGACCGAACTATTTTAGCATTGTATAGTTCGTAAAATATCGTCTTTAAAACGCATCTAAGTGTTTTAAAATCAAATATAAAAAGTATGTTAGATTATAAAAATCTAATATTCACTTAGAAAAAGGAAAAAGTTGGTGATGCATCACCACTGATTCGTGTTTTACTTTAAATATCTACATTCTTCCGCCATACGGAAGTAAACACTGGAGGCGTCTGCTCGCGGTATTTTTGAATAAGTTATTGATAATATGGTTACCATGTGGTCCAGGTACACATATATCAATAAGACATTTACTTTTTAGTTTGCATGTATGTCTTTATGTGACATTCTGTAATTTTACCGTTTCACAGGAGCGAGACGTTTGATTTTATCTTATTGCCACAGAATCTGTCCAGTTTTCGATCGTTGTGCGTTGTGTCTTACCTCTCCGAGGGTGGCCTGACATACACCACCGGTCGAGGTCTGATGTGCCAGTCGATATCATGTTTCATGGACAGACAGCTTGGTTTTCTTCGAGTGTGCCCTCGAAGAGAGTTCGACTTTGGAGTAAGTGAAAAGTCCCACGAATGTAGCGGTACAGAGGTCCTCAGTAGTCAGTGAAATTTGGGGCAGTGAATCATGGCTTTTGGCAGTGAAATATCGCAATCCAAAATCGAAAATGGCGAATGGAGATTGTAAGTTTATTTGGTAAACATTGGAGCAGTCGGTTCTGCCTTCATTTTATTACTGTAATCTTTGTTTTGCAAATTACAATCCTTGTGGTTTCATGGATTCTAGTAGAAAATAGTTCAGGTACTATTATCAGCAAAGTTTTTATTTGCGCAAGGGTGACAAAAAGGAGTAAACCTCTTTGCATTAATCTCCTACCTTGCATTTACAATAGTTTGCTTTAACTGTTATATGCTGTACAGTATACCTCATCAGAACCCAACTAATCTCCACAGATGTCTCTTTTGGCTGTCAATGTTTTGTGTGTAAATGAGTAAACTTTTTACTTACAATGACAGTAGTTATCAAATGACATATTGATATTAGCTCCTTTAAAAAAACAACTTGCTTGGAAGTTGTTTGTTGTTTATAATTGAGTCTGGACCAGACAATCCACTGATCAACACCATGAGCATCAATCTATGCAGTTGGGATACAATGACATGTAAGGACTATCTAAATCCCCCAATTTGTAACATTTTTTCCTCCAGACATTACTCTTTGATGAAAGTTTAAACTTAGAAAGTATCTGAGAATAATGTGTATTATTTCAGAGCAGCATGACGGAAAAGAAGTTTCTTTTGAAAAGGCACAATTTGTGTTCAGTGATGAATGTCAGGTTGCTGATACAAGAAAGTAAGTGATTCAAACATGAGTTAAGTTTTATACAATTCTTTTGTTTTATCATCATGATGAAACTTCACATGCTTGCTCCTACCAGTCATGACTCCTCAATTTGTTCAAGAATCTGATTCCCAATATGGTTGCCATGGCAGTTGAAATCAAAAACACATTGATGGCTACTGCCCATTCCTTACTCCTGTACAGTTGTATAAACATTCTGAACTTATTTCACAAATCATATTTATTCTTTCATGAAAGTGACAGCATAACATGAATTGTAGCATGTATGTGATTCCTTTTGATACATTGTCTTCAAATCAATAGATTTAGTAAAGTTTCAAATATCAATGACAGAGCAACACTGACAGGTGTCATTTTTGATTGACACGTTAAACTGTTGACTATATATCAACATGAAGGTGAGCAGCCATGACATGGCACTCCTTTTCTGATGTTAAAGGTTTTGTTCTGCCTGTTTGACAACTGATATATAGTCATGTTTTTCCATCTCTACTGAAGAGAGCATTAATGTTTCTGATATTCCCTCTTTATGGTCTTGTTTGAAAAGGTTGTACGACAGCAGTGCCTACATAAACGAGCACCTGGCCATTTTTCACTCTTCCTACATCTCAGAGTGTGTCAGGAAGGAAGACATGAAGAAGGTGGTTCTTGGAGACTACTTTCTGCCACCTCTTGAAGTTATGGAAGGTAACTATTAAATATCATAGTGTTTGGACATGTCCAGATTCTAACATATCTAGTGTTCTAACTAGATAGAAATTGTACTTGAATCATCCAATTTGTGAAACACTTCTTCATGATGAACATTGTCCCTATAACTATTATATTTCAAACATTGTCAGCATGTCAAGAATTGTTTGTTTTCTTTGTTTTCAGTAATCCGAGGCCAAACCAAATTAGCATGGGAAAACCATTCAGCAGAGTACCTTGAGGTGAGGTGCATCATATTGCTTCATTTTTAAGTAGGAAGCTACAATATAATACATTTAGTATCAAGAAACAAATATTTTTGGTGCAGTGATTGATTTCATATCTAAAGTTTCAACATTTGTTGATGTGCAGAATATCATTAATGTATAATTGATTTCTTAAATCTATCTCTACATGTCTGTTTCTTCCAGGACTCTGATGAAGAATCAGTCTCTGAGGCAAGAGAGGGAGATCAAGTGACAGGTACACATAGGTCTTGGCTCATCATTGCATGTGTTTGTGAAGCTAGGAATGCATGCTTTATCATGTTTATTGAGATATCACTGACTGAACTGAATGTGTTATTGTTTCAGGTCCAACACACTCCAGTTCCTCAAAAACAAGCAAATCAATAGCTGATGTACAGGTGAGTGGACAAAGCCTTCTCCCAGTGTATGAAATAAGCCAAAAAACCAGCCAGACATCAGGGCTGTTAACTTAAAAATGTTACCAGCCCGAAATGGATTTAACCAGACCAGACACCAAGATATTGTGAATTTACTCAGATGTATGGAACATCTAAATTTTTTACCAGGCCATCGGACTGGCTAGCTGTAAATTTAGACTGTCTGTCAGAAATCTAGCCTGTCTCGGACGGGCGGACGGACGAGCCTTATTTCATACACTGCTTCTCCGTCTGGCAATCTCTGAATATTTTCATTCTGAATCTGTTTTTATTATGTGAGCTCATATTTCTTTTCATTGGCAAAAGGTGCTGAAAGTTGAAATGTGCTCCAATATTGTCTACAAAACACAGTTTGGTCAATTTCTTGTCGTACAGTACTGAAACAAAATGACACAGATGTAAGTGGACTTAAGAGGGTATGAATGAGTGTGTAATGTTACTTACATTAAACAGACAATTTCCATGGTCTAGTGGATAGAGTGTCTTGAGGGTGGAAGGTCTGTCCCAAAGACGTTGACAGATTTGATACCTTGCTTAACACTTTGGGATAAAACAAATACTGGTTGACTCAGAGTTAGTGTATTGTGAGTGAGTGAGTATGGTTTAACGTCACATTTAGCAATATCCCAGCAATATCACAACAGGGGACACCAGAAATGGGCTTCACACATTGTACACATTGGGGAATCAAACCCGTGTCTTCGTTGTGACGAGCCAACGCTTTAGCCACTAGGCTAACCCCACTGCCCCTTGTACTGTGTCCCTTTTGGGGGTTATGCCTTTTATACTGTGGCATGGTATCGCACCATAACTTTGAGGGCTACGTTAAACCCCATTTCAGCTTGCCTAATTTTCACAAGAAACATTGTGTCAAGAAAAATCATCAAGGTCTGAAAACAGTTTCCTTGAAAAATATACAAAACAACCCATGTGTCCTGCACAGCAAACGACACAAATATAATGCTTTTTCTTGGTTCACAGTGTTTTGTGTCATCATATACTTTCTTATTCTCTTCTAAATATAGCAATACCCTCCTCGGGGGAAATCAACAGAGGTAATACTTCCTCGTCGAGATGAGAAGTCATTGGCTGAGAACTTCAACAAGTTCTTCAATGAGAAAAATCACCACCATTCGACAGGGCATAGACTCCACCTGTGAACCGGATTCTGATGTTTTATTTGAGACGTCAGCTGGCCTCAAAATGTGTTCATTCAACCCTGTAATGGAAGCTGAAGTAGAAAAGATCATACGCTCCTCAAAACCAACTTCCTGCAGACTCGATCCTTTTCAGTTTGTCATCTGGATGTGTCCTATCCTGCTTCAAGCGTGCTCTGTTTAAACCTCTAATCAAAAAACCTTCACTTGACTCTGAAAATTTGAAAAATTATCGCCCTGTCTCCAACTTGATGTTCATTTCCAAAATCTTGGAAAAAGTGGTTAAAAAACAACTCTCTGTCTATCTCCTCAAACACGACTTAATCGACAGTCACCAATCGGCCTACAGACCAGCTCATAGTACAGAAACCGCCCTCAATTGTGTACTCAGTTCTATCAGATCGTCTGTTGACAATGGACATTCTGCTGTACTTGTACTCCTTGATTTGTCCGCAGCCTTCGACACAATTGAACACACGATCCTACACCAGCGCTGATGAAGGAATATGGCTTGAAAGATACGATTCTCGATTGGATAACATCATATCTCTCAGATAGGACTCAGGCAGCTCTTATAGGGTCATCGGTGTCATCAAGTCATACTCTTACATGTGGAGTCCCCAGGGATCAGTATTGGGGCCCATCCTCTTCTCCCTGTATACACAGCCCCTCGGAAAACTCATCTCGATATATGATGTAGCTCACCATTTCTACGCTGATGACTCGCAACTCTCTGACAGTTTTCAATCATCTTCAGAAAGTCAACTCCAGTGCAAGAGCAATCTAGAATCTAGAGGCATGTCTGTCCAGTACACTATCTTGGATGTCGGCAAACAAGTTGAAATTAAATGATGGGAAAACTGAAGCCATGGTCATCTCCACCCCTGTCAGACAGCATAAAGTCATCATCTCAGATATAACCAGAGGACACGCATCTATTCCCTTCTCGCCTTTTGTGAAGAAACTTGGTGTCCTCTTGGATCCTCAACTCAACATGGAATATAGGCAGTATTTGCAAACTCCTTACCATAGAAGCAACAGCTATCCTTGTTCAAACTCTCATTCTATCGCGTCTGGACTACAGTAACAACTTACTTTTCGGCATCAGTTCATCTCAACTTCACAGGCCTCAGAAAATCCAGAATAAAGCTGCAAGAATCATCACGCTTACCAGTCCCTGTTCCCATATCACTCCAATTCTGGACTCTTTACACTGGCTCCGCATACGGGAAAGGATCGATTTCAAGATACTGAGCCTGACCTATCAATCATTTTACAACACAGGACCTTCATATCTTCAGGATCTTTTATCTCATTATGCTCCAGTACAAACTCTACGCTCTTCTCAACAATTTCTGCTGACTGTTCCAAGTTACAATTTGAAATCATTTGGTGCACGATCTTTCTCGTTTGCTGCTGCATCTCTATGGAATTCCCTTACTATTGACTTGAAGTCATCACCAACACTCACTTCTTTCAAAGCATGCCTTTTCGAAGATATCAATAACATTTCTGCCAGCATCTCCATCCCTGTATATAGATTTATAGTGCTCAGGAAGCGCTTTGTGCATGGCCATGAGTTGTGGAATTAGCGCTATATAAATATCCTACTACTACTAAACAAGTATATTGGTCTCGGTTTGTTTGTATTACGATTTATTCATATTATGTAGGTAAATTACGGCATAAAGGAAGCCAAACCTATGAACGTTGGTTCAAATCCCAGATGTACCCTGGTTGAAGTGTAGGTTTGTGAGCACCATGCCCATGTCTCTGACCATCATTATTTCACACTAATCTGCAACATGAGGACTGAAATAATTCAATATTCACTCGCTCAATTTTACTTTTGCATTTGGTGAATATCTGCTGTTTCATTATGTAACCCTATACATCAAGGAATATGTGTTTCAGAGGAACGCAGTTGATGAAAGCTGCCCTAAGGCAAACAGTACACAATATTCAAAGCCTGAAGGTAAGATGTGCTCTATCTGTTTGAAACATTCACAAATTTCAGTCATTGTAGAAACTCTTACATGTTAACATGAAAGAGACTTGTTTGTTTTATTGTAGTTCTTCCAAACTTTCAGAAATCTGAAATAGAATTTAAAATGTAATATTGATGATCATGCAGACTACTTTATGAAACACATTTGTACACTGTGTACACTCATGTAATGAAATGTATACTTTCACCTCATAGTCTAATCCCTCTGTGTTTCAGGTAGTCAGAGAGGAAATGCAAGTCAGACAACTGATAAGGTACTTCATATACCCAGTGTTTCTACTTCGTGTTCACTAATCTTGCTTGGTATGCAAACAGATCACTTGAGTTCTTTGATGGGCATTTTAGAATTTATGGATATTATATATATTATGGATATACAACTTCTTGATGACATTAGAACCTATGTCGAAACGTCGCCGCCACAGAATAAAAGAAGTTGTATATCCATAATAATTGTCATTATTATTCTAGATCACTTGAGGTCTAAAATGTCGGATATTGGAATTTCTTGAATGACAGTAAAAACACCATTCTCTCAAGGTGTGACCAAGTAATAATAATTGATGAGTAAATGTGAAATAGGTTAGGTAATATACATTATTGAAATGAATTTGTAAAATTAATATATTAGAGTTACCTCCCTTGGAGTGAAGACATTACCCTGCTTGTATATACAGTTCATAGTGCCTTGTGCTAACGATCCTAGTGTAATTGTTCATGCCTGAATGTTGTACACTATATGTAAGAAAATATCACTTGACTGTGATAATGGATGCATAGTAATTATGTACAGTTCCAGTGATGTGTTGTGAAATTTGACCATATCTTTGGTGTTAATTTGTGAAACTACTTCTTATATTTACTTCAAGTCACTTTGATTTCAATATATTGTGGTGGCTTGTAAATATGTCCAAATGAAGGTAAGTGTCAGAAAAATAGATGAACAAGAAGGATAATTTATGTCGACTATGACATATTTATGTCTTTGAAACACTGTCCTGATTATGGTAAGCGTTTTGAACTGAGACCACAAACTTAGACACTTTGTAGATATGGTTTACTGTATTCAGGTGTTCTTTTAAAATTTTGTTGCAGTCACTAAATGACAGCTCAACTCAAAGGAGGAGTCCGAGACAAAGTTCTAGAAAGTCAAGTTCAACAGTCATTGGAAATAGCAATGACACAAGTGAGTGTTCCAAAATAAATGAACAAAACATCACACTTTAATGTAATGGTCAAAAAATACATCTCTAACTGGTTTAAGTGACTTTGACACTTATAATGAATGCACCTTTTATATCTCCACGGTTTTACATTTCGTTAAACCTACATTAAACCCAGGATCCATGCCTGTGGTTCTAACAATCACAAATAACCTGACCTTATTATCATTAACACTTTCTGGCCAAATAAAAGACAGCATAAGGAGAAGGGACAAGGGGAGGGAGGAAACTTGTATTTGCTGGAGACTAAATGCACCAACACTTTTCATGGACATAAAGACATATTGTGTCCATCATAATGATTTTGAGGGTTTTCTTTTGAGATTCAGTTTTTTCATGTTTGAATATCTCACAAACTCAGTCACAATTTATATTGCCATCTGTACATTGACTGGTTTGTAACTCGCTTTATGATTGGTACATTACACCTAGCAGAACCTTGGTAATCATGGTAATGGATTCAAGATTAGTGTAGGTTTATGGAAATGCTAGCCCTTGAGAGGACTCTGTGAATGGGATGTGTAGAGTAATTATTGCAGTTTAAGTAAGCTTCATGCTATTAGTGTTTCTAGTGCATGTAGTTGCTATTTGGTCCACTGAACATATTTATTTCAAAGTCATTTACCAGAATAAGGCCTCAACTGCTCCATTCCCTAAGTGCGATATTTTCCTTTTCAGATGTAGTGCATATTGACAATCTGCCAAAGGTGACAGGTGCTCTGGAGCCATTTTATCCGGGTCAGAATGGATGTGTTGTTTTCATGAAACCATGAAACTGGGATGCATCTTATCCAAGGATGAGGAATCGGAATAATCATGGCAATCTGGATTACTGAAACATTTATATTGTAAGCAAACAACTTTTAAAGAGGTAAATGGGTTTGAGAAGTAAACGTTTACTTAGATACTTTCATGCATGTTTCCTTCCAGGAAAGTTGACTTTCTGTAAGGTTATGTAATGTAATGTATCTCTATTTTTTTATCCCCCGGGGGATATAGTATTAGGCTCGTACGTTATGAATTGGAATATCTTAAGAACCGTTGACTGGATTCTTTTCATATTTGGTACTTAGGTTCATCACAGTAAAAGAAAGGTCCCAGTCAGGTTTGGTGACTTTGACCTAAATTTCAAGGTCATATGGGGACTTTAACGGTTTACCCTTGTCAGCGAGATATCTCAAGAACCGTTCACTGGATTTTCTTCATATTCAACACCAAGCTTTATCTATGGAAGGCGCAGGGTCCAGTCAATTTTGGTGACCTTCACTGAATTTTCAAGGTCACAGCAACACTTTGAAGACTTCAGCATGTTAACCTGCATGTAAAGATTGTCAGCGAGATATCTCAAGAACCATTCACTGGACTTTCTTCATATTTGACAGTTCCAGTCGATTTTGGTGACCTTCACTTAATTTTCAAGGTCACAGCGACACTTTGAAGATTTTAGCATCTTAAACTGCATGTTAACATTGTCAGTGAGATATCTCAAGAACAGTTCACCAGACTTTCTTCATAGACTTTCACGACTTCCCTTGAATGTTTTTCAAAAAGCAATTTCTTTATTACTATTTTTGCATATTTCATACACTAAGACATTCATGTCAAGGTCAAAGTGAGTCTTGAAAATATTTGTGCGTTTGAACAACTACAGAGCAAGATATCAAGAGACGTTGACTGGTCATGTTTTTGTTTACATTTAACTTCATCTTAAATTACGACCTTCACTTTCATTACTTTTTAAGTTTGATTTGATAATTTGCGGCAGGGGATTATGTCACCTTAGTGACAATGCTTGTTATGTATGTTCTGGTTACTTCAACACAGCATCTCAAGGAGTATCCTAAGCAAACCCCAAAACTGCAAAAATGGCTCCAGGGCTCCAGATAATGTTTCATGATTAGGAGTACGTACTCCTTATTTTTTCAATATAGGGGTACTGGAAAACAATAAGAGTACATTTAGAGTACTGAATGGAATTTAATGGAGTATCAGTAATCTTGTGTATCGTTTCATATATGCACCACAACATTGCTACTCTAGTGTAAACAGGCCAATAAACAATAAAACAATACTTTTTCAGATAGATACGCCTGTAAATGATTCTAAGACCGTACACCATTGCTGTAGTGCGTACCTGCTACGTTTTCTAAATTATTTCCTACCGTATCATGCTTATTTTATATCCGTACATACGCCGATACAGCCCTTATCTGGACCCCTTGGTTCAAGTGACTTTGCTTTCATCAAGATTGTTACCAATTGTGACCATTTCATTTGAACATACAATACTTTTGGATGAAATCGATTACTGAGGATTCATTTGCATGATAGATAACCTCCATGAGTTATGTCTGGAGAATTGAATTTTATGTCCTTAACATTGCCATTTTCTTAAACAAAACAAATGTGAGTTGAGCTTGGTCTCACTTTGAAAAGGTAGAGTGTACAGACTTAGGACACAACCCTCATCTGACTTGCATATATCACAATGTAGCACCGCAGTGAAATACTATTACTCAGTCATGTTTTAGTCAAAACAATACAAAACATTTTTGCAATGTTGAGTCTCATGGCAGTATTCATGTGGACTGAAGGATTGCATTTGTTGTTTAACGCAACATTTAGGTCACCGTAATGTGGATTGATCTTCATTTTGGGTAGATTCATTATTCCTCACTGTTGCTTCATATCTCGTGTAAGTTTGGATGTTGAAGCTGAGAAACCGATCAGCAGATTTTTCATTGAAGGAAAATGACACGACAAGAATGAACTGTGTCAATTTATATATTTTGTTACTTTCATATTTGCCACAATGTCAAAACTGAAAGAGATTATGTGTTTGCTATGAAATATCAGATCGATTCTATTAATTAGACTTCTTCCCTTACCTTACACTTTTACTTTATGTGAGAAACATGTCTATTTTCAAAGAGTTGAACCTGCTTTGTTGCATCGCTCATGATTCATATTAGTATTTGTATACGTGTTTGTCATTAAATGTTTTGCTTTTTTCAGTGGCATATTTTTATGAGTGTAATCATTTGTTCCATAAAGCTTAGCTCAGTGTTTCTAACAAGGCAAGACAAACAAGAGGCATTTCCAACTGAGACAGTCAATGTTTAACTAAACTTTAACCATTTTGATGGCCCAGACTGACTGTCAGCAGCTTATCTTTAACAGAGAAGCAGACAAGCCAATTCAAACAAGGTGGCAAGTGTAGATAATTTATCTCACTCACTATGTTTGTGTTGATGCAGTATGGCCTTACACCTAACCTATAGAATTATAATGTCAGGGTCAGATGAAGCTTACAGATAATGCTCTCAAAAGGTAAACAGTGTTTCTACCATACACATGGATCATCAGACTTTAAATCAATGTGTTCAGAACACATTTCATGGTAAATCTGTCACTTACCAGAGGGCAGAAATGCTGAGGCCAACATTCCAATATGTGAGGTGTGATGGTGAAAGAATGTTGCTGAAGGAGGCATAAAATCTCATTCAATATGAAATGTCATAACCAGATCATCAACAGCTTATTCAGGACTATAGTCTGTTTGCAGTGAAAACGTACCGATGAATTTCACTTTAAACAAAAATGTAAATCAAATAAAGTGAAATTAAGATTGCAAATCCTAATACTTTAACCTTGCCAATTGAACATTAAAATCTGAGAATTTTATTCAACTTAGGATAAAAGTTGTTTAACAAAGATCATAGTTTCAAATCGCTATTATTGGTTTGTATTACAAGGGGGTAAGCACAGTAGTTGGAACAGTGAAACAAATGCACGTGCAATGTGCATACCACCCTGTAATTCAAACCAATAATAGTGATTTGAAACTATGATCGTTTGTTAAACCACTTTTATCCTAAGTTGAATAAAATTCTGAGATTTTAATGTTAAATTGGCAAGGTAAAGTTATGAGGATTCGCAATCTTAATTTCACTTTATTTGATTAACTTTTTTGTTTAAAGTGAAATTCATCGGTATTTTTTCACTGCAAACAGACTATAGAAGGTTATATGTAAAATAACTAATTTGGGGAAAAGATTACTGGCCCTTTTACATTTTCACTTCATTTTCAGACACATGGACCTGTTACCATGTCTAATTGTCAGCTACACCTAGCTAAAATTACTAGTTGCTGTAAATCCAAGAGGGAAACACGAGCATGCATGATTGCATTGTCTCATTTCACTTGCACATAGCAAGTGTTAGGTTAGACATATGGTATGGGTGTTTATGTAGTGACTAAGAAAAGATTAAGTTATGAAGTGATTAAGTTATGAAAGAAATTATGTTGGCTGCAGCAAACATTGTAACCAAGCTTAGTACAAAATGTATGTGCATAAAGTAATATGTTACTTACAAACATGGAAACTTTATTTGTATCAAGGAATTGATAAATTGTAACTTTTCATACTTTTTGGTTCTGCAAGATATCAGTTGTAAACACCAATGCACAAGTAAATGGACACTCATTACAAATGCAAACCAGCAAAGCTGGCAAATATTAATATAACCATTGTCCAGTTACGCATAAGGTATCGGATATGATTGTTGCTTAACACTGCACTCAGCAATATTCCAGCTATATGGCAGTAAGGTATCTGAAAGATATCACACACAGACATCTAACCTATAGCAAACTGTAGACTGAGATGTAAAATACTGGCCAAAAGTTTGAATAAATAACTGAAAATATATACATGAAAATGAATACGCTGCATGAATACACATAAGCTGTTTGGAAATGTCATGCAGTACATTCATAATACAGTAGAATCTTTAACTTAGTGCCTCCATATTTGTGCTGCATTTGACTTAGCCCATATATAGTATGACCAGAAATTATTGTGAATTTTAGGAATATGTTTAATTGGATTTCTAGTATAAACAACCTTGACCAGCTATCAAGTGCTTGGTTTCATTCAAGAGAGACAACTCTGTTAATCCTTTTTCATTAGTTTGTGAAGAGTTATCTCCCTTTGTTTACTTGCTAGCAGACGACATTTCAGTGATCCTCAGTATGGATGATTTAGAGAAGAGGAAGTTGATGAGTATTATAACAAGGACATCAGAACAGGCATCCCTTTGTCCACTGTTTATCGTGTTTTGAAAACTATTGCAAATGGATATGGCATTGAGCACCAGGGAGGCGCAGGTAGGCCCAGAAAATTGACTGTCGATGACAGGAGGCGGCTTGGTATTCTTATTTCTAAAACAAACGAAGGAGTTTAGAAAACTTAAGGCTGGATATGAGTGATAGAGGTACTGTGGCTGTCTGTAAGGAGACAATTAGAACTGAGCTGCATGCAAGGGGTTGGCAGAAAAAGTCGAGGAATTCCATCACCGATCATGAAACCTGAACAAAAGGAGCGAAGGTTGAACTGGTGCTTACAGCATAGTAATTTTAACTGGGACAATGTGATTTTCTCAGATAAAAGGTCTGTGAGGCTGTTTCCTAATACACTGAAATTCTGGACCAAACAAACTGAAAAACCTTTGTATCAGTGCCCAAAGTACAGTCTGAAATTTAACGTGTGGGGTGGCATATCTGTGTTAGGGGCAACGCCCCTCTGTGTATTTGAAGGGAATATGAACAGTGAGCGGTACACAAATATTCTCGAGAGACATTTACTTCCATCTGCTCACGTGTTCTATGGAAATTTTGGGATTTTCCAGCAGGACAACGACCCAAAACATCGTTCAAAGCATTCACAGGCCTGGTTTTGGACCCAAAATATGACATTATTAGATTGGCAAAGCTATAGCCCTGACCTAAATCCAATAGAAAATGTTTGGGGACTTATGAAGTAAAGTGTCAATAAGAAAAATCTGACAAATATTGCTTAAATGAAAGAAGAGGTGGTCCGATTTTGGGACAGCATGGACCACGACTTTCTAACTTCTTTAATCAGTAGTATGCCCCGCCGTGTGACTTGACAAAATACTAACTGTTCACCTGTCTTTGAATCTGGAGTTATGTTCTGCTAATTTTCACATTTAATACATGAGTAATGAGTGAAAAAAATATATAAAAATTAC